CAGGAACAGAGCGTTTTCCAACCCGTCTTAAATAAGCTCAGCGTGTGGATATGCGCTCATTCCCTACATCTGTAAAACATGGGACAGGACGCACACTCAGCAAAATGCTTCCCTCTCAAGTTCTTGAATTCTCCCCCCCTCAAAAAGGAGGAAAAGTGTTTAAACTCTTCCTCTGAAGGCTAGGTGGGCCAACGTGTTTTAGACCTCATAGTAAAATGATCTCAGTCTCCAAAGCCAAGATGGAAATAAGAATCCCAGGCCAAGACTTTCAAAAGTGGCTAGTGTTTTTTTTCTGTGTTTCACATCAAGGCACATCATTTTTGGAGGGTGAATGCTCACCCCAAGGAATCTCAAGGGAAAAATATCAAGGTGCTCAAAATCATTCATCATATTCAAACCCCTTATTCCAAGACTCTGCCCTGGCATTAGCTGAGCATATCGGAAAGGCTAAAAACAACACACATGTACTTGTCTCACAACCATCTTCAGGAACAGATTTTAAAGAAGGACGAATTAGAGTCTTAACCCCATATCCCCTGGATTAAATAAAACTTCCCTCTGGCCCAGCAATTCTCCGGAAAAAGCAGCAATCAGTTCCTACTAGTTGACCTATGGTCTATATTGATGATTATAAAGCCAGGTGACAGACATTTTCTTATCTCTTTCGTGAAGATGCAGAGCTATAAAACTATAGAGAAGAAAGGAGATGTTGGGGACTGCTGGGAAAACACAGTAGCATGGAAAAGACATATTGTAGGCGAGCTAATCCCACATTCATTTTTTCTTGTTCCCATTTTAAACATTCTTCCTATTACACAGAGGTAAAAAGCAAGCCAGTCAGAAAGCATGAATCTGAGACTGTCTCCACTAAAAATGAGCTAGATTTTCTAAACTAGGCCAACATGGAGCACTTTGGACTTCCTAGGTCCTGCTGACTTCCAATTCCTTCAGATTCCCTAAGTAATATTTTGCTTCCTCCCACAATATAGATTTTTCTCTAATTCCACCTGTTCGTAAAATATCTTTCCTTTGCAACGGGTGCTTATTTCCTGTGCTCCAGGCTAATGTGCCAAATATCAGGTTGATAATAATGGACAAACCCTCTGCATCTGGCTGGCCTTCCCTACCTAGGGCCCATGCTACTGTCCTATAAGCAGGGCCACCTGGTCCCAGAGCAGCACCAGCTGCAAATACAAAGCTGATGGACAGCTGGACTAAATACATAAGCCTCGGCCCTTAATTTGGATTCTGGCTGCTCAATGCCTCACACCTGTAGTAGCTCAGCCCTGTTCCAGCTCTGGACTCCTGTACCTTGTCCCAGCATATCCTGTTGTGTGTCTGGGCTCCCTGGCTCCTGACCTAGACTGTAAGCACAGGTATCATTTTGGATTAGAAGTGTGACTGGTTTTGGTTCTTCTGAACCCTTTGGCACAACGTTGACAGTAGATCTGGATTCCCTGCAGGCTCAGGTGCTCGGCTAAACTCACCTGGCTAAAAAGCTGTCCTTTATGTATAGCCCTTTTGGTTAGGTTCCAATAAACCACGCTGCAATTGTCCAGATTTGATTATGTGAAAAACTTGTTGGTCAGAAAGTAAACTTAAACTGTCATCTCATTTCATATATGGCAATCTCTTGCCATGGCATGGTGGCTATTAAAGCTGTTGTAATGAGCAGCACAGAGGAAGCCATTTACCACAAGCATTTTTATTGGTCTCAGAAAAGCCAGACACTATGCTACCTTTTCCTAAGTATCATCTAAAGGCACGGTATCTCCACAGTATTTGCAAAGATGCAAATACAACTTGTAAAAGCAATAGCTGACACTCTTGACCTAAAGACATTGGAACAGAAAACTCAGAGGTGAAAGGCTTTATATCCTGTTACTGATCCACTGAGCCACACAGCTGCTGCGCTGCCAGGTCCTTTTTCTCAAGTATGAACTGAAGCAGTGTCCTTGTTTCATTTACTGAAAATATCTTTCTGATCACGCTTTAGTTTTTCAGTTTCATTCATAACATTCCTTCCCTGCAGGAACTATACCATAATTGAAGGGGAGAAGAAAAAGAGAAAAAAATGGTACTAGCTGATTTTCTGCTATTTTAAAAGTTTATTATTTTTATTTTGATGTCTGCTTTGTTTTTTGGTTTTTTTTTTTTTTTTAAGGTTTTGGTGAGAAACTACCTTCCCCTCACCCCCATCAATCGTTGCTTTCAACAGCTCTTCATGGGTGGCTGCGTCTCTCTTAAATTTCATTTCCTGTTAAAAACAATAAACAGGCAACTGTTTAATACTGTCGATTTTGCTTACTTGATAGAAAATGAAATTTGAATGGGGCGCCCTTGTGAGATAATCACTAGAGAAGCAACTGGGGTGAGGAGCAACAGCTTTAAAATAATCGTTGATTTATGTAATGCTAACTATGTGCAAAATCGTCAAACTAAACAAGAAGTAAACTGAAAAATGTTAACTTTCAATGGGCAGCAGGGAAAACAGCAGGCAATTCCTTGCTTAGGAAAGTTGGCTGAGAACCACTCTCATATGATGCACTTAGTAGGCTTTCACATTAGTTTTATTAGGGCAGTTTTGAGATCTCACACTCTATTGTCGGAAAGGCAAAAATAAGTTGGTATCTTTTAGATGCTTCTGAGGAAGAAATTAAAGGACGCATGCAACCTTCTCCTATGCCTCAATTCAACAAACTACTTTATAGAAACACCACTTTTTCTCCCTAGATAAGACAACACACCCACTTTAACTTGCTCACATGCAGAATCTAGTCCTCAAATTTTTTTGGGATGCGGGGGATGCGTTTTATTTTACATATTAATGTATGTTTTAGCTGCGTGAATATAGAGCACCCTATAAGTTAATACATGCCAAAGATGATGAGGTGGTAATCCCTTTGGAATGCAGAATTAACTCAAGCCAATAATAATAGTTGCATTCCAAGTGGATTAGCACTGAGAAAATTTCCTTACCTGTTGCTGATAATGGGGGGTTAGTAACAGGTGCCCCTGAAAAGAGCTTAATTGTCAACATACAGAGGACTGAACCACATGCAGCGCTGTTACAAAAAGTGTAAGTGAATGCAAGTCACTTACGTACGGAGCAATAAGACGACCTACAGCTCCAAATGGTAGCAGTCACAGGAATCTTATTAACATTTCCACCATTGCTACCTGTTGGAGCTGAAACATGGGAACTATGGTGGGGAAATAACGTTAGTTGGTATAATTTGCATACCGGAGAGCTGGAATGAGGTAAACACTGGAGTATCGTGATTGTACTACATACCTTCTTCCAGCTTTTGAGTAGGTAAAGCGTCCCAAATCGGACATGTTTATAGTAACCTGTCTAAGAAAGTCACAGGGTGGGTCTACATAGCAGATTTTTAAAAACCCCCAAAATTGACTAGTACTAACTCCGGCTCAGATGAGACTTAGTGTATATAATACTGGGTCTAGTTACCGTCCACTTAATCACCTGCTGAAAGGATGCCTAATCCACACTGGTAAAATTCCTGGTCACAGGAATCTTGTTTACATGAAGGCTCCCATTCAGTGCTAACAATGGAAGGAATATATCTGAAGCTCTTCGGTGCAGACCAGGCTAAACCTATGAGTAAAATTAATTTAGACAACCTTATAAATCACTTCTGAATTCTGCCCTTGGCACGTTTTTGTCTCTTACCTATACTGAGAGAAGTAGTGTTCATACGCAAAAGCAGCATTCCTTTTAGTATACCTTATTACAGACAAAAATCTGCTAGAGAATAGTGGGGTTGTAGAGTCAAATACAGTTTTTGTACATTTTTTTTGGTCTCTCTCACATGCATGATTGCATACACACACATCCATTTCTGCAGATGAGCAACTGAAGGATGGAGAAACCAGAGCAAAACATCTAGCAGCTGGACTATATCTACCAATGCACCCTGCTTAACTGCAGTTACAGTTGTGGGTGCTCAATAATATTTTTTAAAAAAAACAGTCCTCCAAATTTTAAGTTGGGCTCTCAGAAAATGAAGAAAACCTAATTGACAGAAACCTGGGAGAAGTCAGATTTAAGTGACTTGCTCAGCATCATACGGAAATTCTGCACAGAGGTTGGGACAGAATCACTCCACAGAGCAGCCTTCAGCTGCATTATCCTTAAGTGCATCTTTATTTTTCTTGAGGTCTCCAGCCTCATCTACAAACACCTTCCAAATTCTCCAGTTGGTAAAATAAATAAATTTAAAACCATACAGACAGCAGTCTCCTTTACTGTACAACACAACCCTTATTCATCCCAAGTATGGCCCAGCCTACGTGGGAGTTTTAGGAAAAAGAACAGTATGGGATCATGTAATTAAAGGGTGTAAGAGAATACATGTATGTATGTGTGCACGTGCACGCGCGCGCACACACACACACATCCTTGGAGGCTGAACCAAGGCGGCCCACTTGCTTTTGATAATTTTAATGTAATTTCCTTTTTTCAGAAGAAGTTAACAAAAACAAAAGAGGGGTGGTAAAAAAATTCCCTGCCTGTATTCTCCGAGCAAAAGATTCCCTAAGCTATACTTCTAGTCCAGCTCCAAACATTTTTGCTTCTTCACTGAAGTTTTCTTTTTAAATCATCTGTGCAGTATAACTCATAAAACAGGGGGAAATGAGATATTTTTTTTTCACAGTTTATACCATTCAGTGCAGCAGACAAATATTTGTTATTTGCAAACATTAGAAATCCTGTTTTCTTTTCTAGAAACCTGCAGCCTTAACATTTCATAGTAAATAAATACATGAAAACTAACTCTGGCCAATGCTTGTTAATTTCGTGTTTAGATCCTAAGATTCACCAGACGAAATGTCAAGTAGGTCATAAACCACTATAACTTGCACCTTGAAATATTTTTACCATGTGGAACTTTTTACTAGAAGAAAGAGAAAAAAACCCCAACGTGCTCCAGAAAAACAGAGAATCACATATAATTAAATGTAAATTTTACGCCATTTACCTTTGTCTAAGTCAGTTGAAATGTTCCATGATGATGTTGGTGTGAAATCCACAGTGACTGTCAAATTTGTTTCTGGAAAAACAAACAAAAAAACCACCATTACTATGCTGATGTTCAGCCTATGAGAAGTACGTATTTTCAAAAGATAAAACCTGATGAATAAGATTAACCAAATATTGTTGGTTATTGATATCTAATGGATGCTCTGTGCTGCCATGCTGCAGCATATGAACAACATAGATAAAAGGCAAAGGCCAGCCCTGCAATTTGTTTTACAATGTAGTCATTGTGAGAAATGATACTAATTAAGCAACCAGTCTTTGGGACATGTGCAGCTCATCTTAAAATCTCTCCCCTACTGTTTTGGAAATAGAAGAGTCTGCCCAAGAAAAAAACAGTACATTGCAATGCTACAAGTCTGTCTAACAAGTTACTAATTAACATCTACAAAACATCTAACTCATCCTGAAAACCCTTTGGATAGGGAGGAGAGACATTACACATAAACCATTTAAGTGATCAGAAACTGCTTTAAATGTGTAACAGAACATAAATTCAGTGCATGTAAACCAGTCTAAAAATGGCTTAAACCGGTTTGAGATAAACCTGGTTGAATGCAGTATCAGATTTAACTGATTTGGATCAAATCAGTTTATGCAATATCTATCCCAGAACCCTTCCTGATTTAAGTTAAATCAGAGTCCCTCAGAATCCCAGATGCTTTGCTGGGTGGGGCTCTGCTCTCTGCTCCAGTCTAGCAGGGCTGGCCCCTCCCTTCTGCCCCCTGGCTGTTGCTCCAACAGAGACTGCAGACACAGCAGGGTCTGCCTGGCTTCCTCCTGTTGCCCCATCCATTTCCCCCTCACCACTCTCTGCTCAAGCAGGGATTCCCTCCTCTCCTCTGCCTTACACAGACACCTCTCAACATTAGCTACCAGATGACATGCTGGCTACAGTCCATGCAGTGGGAGACAGGACAAAGGCAGACAGGACAGCGTCAGTTTAGGGCTCTTTGGAGCTAATCAACAGGTAGCTGATAACATTCCTTTCTTGGAAAAAGCTGTTTAAGAAGAGCTTGAACTAATGAGAGATCCTTTTGTTTTGTTGATGGGGTGATAAACGCTAACACCACCCTGTGAAACTCCCTGCTGTGTAACCCTAAGCTCTGTTATCAACAGCAAGTGCGTGGGGGGGGAGGAACGACTCCTCCTGCGTCCTGTGGGGTCATGCCCCCCCCCTTGGCTCAGCACTCTGGAAGGGAAGGGAGAGCTGCTCTAGTGCTGCCTGGCTTCTAGCCTGAGCCACTGCAGGCATGTGCCTGCATTTCTGGAATGAAAAGGGAATGTCTATCCACCTCCGAATTGGTTCAAACGTTGAATCAATTCAGGCTTAGGCTTTTTGTCTGTCTGTCCCTAGCCATAGTCACTACTTATGCGAATATTCCCATCCAATTTAATGGGACAACTTATAAGGGAAATCCTTATTCACATGAGTAAGGGCTTAAATGATCTGTTCAACAGCAGCTTTCTCACTGATAGAAGCTTGTAAATGATTGCTATTACTATCACATTTTTTAAAGAGAAAAGGATGAGATTCAGCTTACTTCATCTGCCTTAAATTATCATAAATGCCTTCATGTTAAATATAGTGTTCTCAATCTGTTTTTTCCAGTAAACTCAGCTCTTTCATTTATCCCTACATGCCTCAGTCTTTATTTATTTTTTTAAAATCTTACGTCAGTGCATGCAGCAAGCATTACGGAGAATCCTGCTAAAGAAAAATGACAACTCACTTCAGGACAGAAATTTAAGATGCATTTAAAACATGCCCCAAAGTTTCAACATAGATCCTTTTATTACCCCTTAATGTATTTTGAAAATGTATAACCATCGCAGCAGCGTTTTGACTCTACTTCCAAAGCAATCCATGTGGCAGTGTTTCATGCAGAGGCATCTGCACTGTGCTGGGTTTCCATGGTTCCAACTGTAAAATCGGAGCTTAGTGGTGCAAGTTGCATTTAAGATGGTGTGGCATCCTGTCCACTCCACAATGGTTGTCAACAATGTTTATTAGGCTGCTACAGCCATTGAGCTAACAGAATTGCCTGCATTAATTTAATTAGTGGAGAATTGTGCTCTTCCAACCAGAGGTCTCAGTTTCAATCCCCACAATTGATAATCTAACCTGCAGGACCTGGAAACCAGCATAAAGCAGTGGTACTGTGTTAATAAGCAGTGAATGACAAATTAATATAGAACTAAAAATGAAACGGACTGAACTAGCTTCCATGTCTAATCTAAGTAAAACACAGACTATACTGAACAAGCAGCAGACAGAAAAGTAGGTTTTGATTCAGACTTTGGGACCTCATCCTGCAATTCCTTGTAACTCCAAAACTCCTTGTGGTTTCAGTAGGCCTAGCATGCGTAAGGAATGCCTGAATCAGGAATCTGAAATGTTAGTAATGCAGATAAGAATATACAGTTTGAAGGTATATGATTTTTATTTTGATGCTGGCCCTTTGACATATTCTAAGCTAGAAAATAATTGAATATGTAAAATTGTGTTAACAAAAAGATATTAAAATCCGTTCCGTTTTTATTCTGTTAGCTAGAAGGTTTTCTTATTTAATCAATTACGTGAGTAAAGGCACACAAATGCATGAAATAATAAGTGCAGATATGGCCACTACCCTCTCCTTATAAATACCCTCTTTCTTACAAGCCCACTTGGTAGCTCTGCTTGTTTAAGAGTCTATCAAGCATTTCCAATGTAAACACAGTATTTGAAGGCAACATAACTCATCCACAAACATATTCATGGGGCTAAACTAGACATACAGGGTAGAACCACACTCGGAGGACTAGATACTCAGCTGAAGTAAACAGGCATAGCTTCATTTAGGTCCATGAGATGCATCTATTTACTCCAGCTTCAGGTTTGAGCCAACACGCATATCCCTATGCATTCTTAGCTATTACATCTTCGTGAAATAAATATCTGACCACAGAGACACGTCATATTTCCAAGTGCTACTGAACCAGTAATAGGACCCTCCCTCATACTGTGCTGCTTATGCCTCAGAAATGTGGATCTGGATAACATAGTGAGTCTTTCCAAATTCCTTGAACTTCATGGCATTAAACCAGAGTTCGACATTGGTCCAAATTCATGCAGTTTTCCATCTAATAGTCACGTTTTACTAAGTAAGTCACAAATTTCTACCACTCTATACCAATTTTAGGATCAGTGTCAGTATCTCTTTTGTTTTCCCCACCAGGAGTTTAATTTGCTGATTGAATGCCAGACTGCTGACAACTGATTAGACCCATGACATTCCTGACAGCAAAAATGGCAACTATTCATTCTCCAGTACAGTTACACAACTCATCGAGCCCTAGGTCTGAGGCTCTAATAAAGATAATTCCATAGGAGGAACACACCAACTGACTGCACTGAACCTTGTTCTGAGATTATTTATCTTGGATTTCATGGGAAAAAAACGAGACACGGTCCACAGCTGAGAAACAAACAAAGGGCCAGTCTTGCAGTGAAAATGACCCCTGCCTCCTCCTCAGGGTAACTCTTCAAGGTCTGGATTGGTTAATAACCTAAGTAATTCTCAGGTTGATATGCTAGTAGTATTTCCTCCACAGCAGCTTCATAGCGGGCATCTGACATGGGCTCAGAAGACATAGAGGACCTTGTGCAAGCGTGGTCTTGTTTGTTCCCTCTACCCTACACTGATTCTGGGCCTTGTGTCATCCCTGTGCAAGTGACTCGGAGGCTTCTACAAACCTGTGCAGCAACCCTTTTGCAGAAACTTGTAGGGAACAGGGAAGAAACTAAAGGGGCTCAAAGACTTGGGGTGCTCTCAGAATTGCTGCTCATGTGTGTTACATTGGGAGGCGCTTGAGATGTCCTGTCCTACCCTCTCCTTGCTTCTCCTCAGCTTTTTGCCAACAGCTCACACACTTTACTCATAACAGAATAATATTCAGTGGCAACTTAATTTTCCACATATCAGATAGCCTTTCTGGTCAGGCCTACTTGACATCCCTGCCATCTACTCACCCAGGGATATCCTGCTCCACAGGAAGAAATATCAGAGGGGGCACTTATGAAGTGATTTCTTAGTCCAAGAGGTGGGGGAAGAGAAGAGAGTTTCTGTCTGGAGTTTTTGAGGAACAGATAAAGCTAGTAGGTCACAGAACACTAGCAGGTCAGTATGTTCGACCCACACATATTCCTAAACTTAGTTCAATTTTCTCCTTCAAACAGATGAGTATTCCCAGTTTAGCGTTTTATAGCAACTTCAAGAACACTGAAAAAAATATGGAATAGCATCAGGCCTAATACTGATCCAACAGGAGACTACAACAAACATCCATGTTCAGCAGTTACCCGTTGTTAGATACTAATTCTTTAAACTCCATCAGATAAGCAAACAATAAGGAGAATATTTTTAGATTAAACCCATGCAAATAGCTCAAGGATGTTTTGAACAAAATAAAATTGAATTAAAATATGTTTACAGTAGATGCAATAGCAAAAATGGCTTCTGCAAAGAACAGCAAATGAGGAAAAACAGAGGCTGTTTTGTCTGGACCAAAGAGAAACATTATAAACATAGGAATTATCGTACTGGTTGAAACCAGTATGCTCCATCTACTCTACTATCCTCTGGTACAGTGGTTGTTAACTGGGGGTATGCGTACCCCTAAGCGCATTTAAAAATGTCATAGGGGGTATACAGAATGAATGAGAAAAAAATACCATTTTAAAATTAACTTTATTGTATGTAATTTTATCTAATAAGTGTACATTATCAGTTATTTTTTATTATACATCATGCAGTATATTTACAAATTGTTTATGGTACACATGCATAATATTTGGTGGGCATGTTGTGTAGATACTGTAGCGATCTGGCCCTGCTGGCCCAGACACAGAATGCATTGGTCATGAACTCACATGTGAACTGTGGTTAATTAATGTAAAGCCATAGCTGCGCACTTCGAGAAATACACATATGCACCATAGGTGGCAGAAGACCAGGGCTAAGGGGGCTC